CAGTTGGCTAATTAATCCTACCAAAAAATGCTCGAAGTGAAGGGTTAAAATTCATCGAAAAATTGCCTACGTCCCCCGATCCAAGCTAAAAATTCCAGCGTGTCACCCGAAGAACGACAGTTTCCGTTGGAAATAGCTATCATCGACTCGAAGATTGATAGAGTCCGAGAAAGAGCGGACAAGACGGGGGCTGGACAGTTGTAAAAAATCAGCGGGAAGCGTCTGCGCGGATAAATCTCACGAGAAGAATGTCAATTAATGGTGTACGCGCGAGGAGCGATCGATCAAACCTGGCATTTGTGCCACTTTAAGAAAGTAAGTCAATGTAATTCGCATGAGTAAGGTTGCAATACGGACGCGCGCCAGTAGCGGACAGGATCGAAACGCGCAGACCTTCGCTCTGGATCGCGATCTTACACGGCCGTTTCGTCCGATTTGCCTTTTTCCTCGCGCCGCTTCCGCGTGGCAGTCAACCGAGCGCCAGAAATCCGTGAGTATAATGCCCGATTGCCGAGCAAGGCCGCCTCCTGCGAACCGCCGATCGCTTTCGACTTTCACTCGCGTTTTTTTTTTCCAGGTGAAAATCGGCCTGTTTTTTCCCCTCGATAAGACACGCTTCTAGACTAACGATCGTTTGTCGATTAGATTAAGATGTACACTCCCGTGTAGAAGTATCGGGGACGAGCACTGGCTGCTGGAGGAAATGGGAACGGTCGTCGAGGATTCTTCAGATTGTGGGACTTTTTCAGAAATTCTTTTTTATTTAGGCTTTTCTAGGACATTCTTTTAATTCTTTGGGTTTTTGGGAATTTGAGTGTGATTATTTGGAGGACTGACGAAGCTTTTCTTGTTTCTGTTAAAGTTTCTGTTGGTCCCTCTGAGTGTTGGAATTATTTTTCTAGTTTCGGGGTTTCTTTTGGTATAGATAGGATCTCTAAGTTTTAAGATTTTTGTGAAAAATTTGCGAACGACGATGGGAGAAATATCGAAGTGAAAATTCTGAGTTATCTCAGAGGGAAGTGAGAATTCTAAGTTATCTCAAAGGGAAGTGAGAATTCTAAGTTATCTCAAAGGGAAGTGAGAATTCTAAGTTATCTCAAAGGGAAGTGAGAATTCTAAGTTATCTCAAAGGGAAGTGAGAATTCTAAGTTATCTCAAAGGAAAGTGAGAATTCCAAGTTATCTCAAAGAAGGGAAGTGAGAAATCAAGGGAAGTGAGAATTCTAAGTTATCTCAAAGAAGGAAAGTGAGAATTCTAAGTTATCTCAAAGGGAAGTGAGAAATATAAATTATCTCAAAGAAGGGAAGTGAAAATTTGCAAATTTTTAGAGGGATACAATAAATTTGCAAATTTTTAAGAGTGATTCAACAAATTTGCAAATTTTTAAGACTGACTGAGCAAATCTGCAAATTCTTAGAGTGATTTAACAAATTCGACAAATGTTAGTATAGAAAGGGTATTCTGAGTTAACTTAGAAGCTTCTAGAGCCTTACTCTCCAACTTCTTCATTTTCTTCCATATTACATACACAATGATATCAATCTTTCAGACCAATTTTAGAGAGTGAGTGAAAAACTCTCCGTTTCCTTCCCTATAACGCTGTAAAAATTGATTTAACCAAAAAAACACTCACCCTTCGTGAACTCGTCGACGGACTCGAATCGTCCTTCCACCTTATTCTTGGAGGAGTCTAGATCCCAGCCGAGAGGCGCGGTGGATCCATGATCCACGCTGCGGCTCTTGCTCCTGCGAAAGGAGAAGTTTAATTAAACGATTAAAATCGATGAAGCGCGCTTTCTCTGCTCGTACACTCTCTACTTTGAAACGCTAGTTCGGTTCGAACTCGGTTGCAACAAGTTTCTCAAAATTTCTATTTCCAATGTCGATAGATCGTGAACGCGACAACATCGTCGCTTGTACAATCGTTCAAATCGCCTAATTACTCCCTGTATTATTCTCTTCTCGTTTTACTTCATTTTTTCCCATTTTCGTTTTGCAAAAGCAAGGCCAGTCAGCCGAGAAACCGTGCAATTTCACGATGCAACGAACCATGCGTCGTATAAACGAACCCTACAAGAGAGGAATCCTGGCGCGAGCGAACGAATGGCCGACGAAGATAGCAAAAGCAACAATGGAGGCTTACAAGTGAATGAAATTACCGGCTTGGCGAGAAGAAAAGGAAAAGGAAAACTAGATTTTATGAATGGAGGAGCGCACGAGGCGCGAACGAATTATCCTCTGACGTTGCAACAAGTTGAACATGGTGCGCTCGTGAATATTGCGCAATTTACGAGTGGCTTTAAGGGCGATCAGAGGTTTTCTTTTTTCAGTTTGCTGAGAGCGTCGAATCAATACGGTTTATTCGAGAGGTGGAGTGAATGAAATAACGTTCGTGCTGATTTAATTGGAAAATTTGAAAATGTGTATAAAAAGATAGAATTATTTTTGTTTGTTAAACGAAACTGTACACTACTTGCTGGCTCTATTGCATTACAGTTACTTTGTAGTGGTAAACTTACTCTCTTACTCTCTGTAAATTTATTTTTTATACAGTTTACTAATTTATATAGGTATTTTACACTAAACCTCTGTCACTTCTTTTCACTATTACTTTTTATACAGTTATTCTACAGTTGCATATTTATATTTATTCTAATTGCCTGTAATTTCTCTATAAACTAATTTTTTATACAGTTATTCTACAGTTGCATATTTATATTTATTCTAATTGCCTGTAATTTCTCTATAAACTAATTTTTTATACAGTTATTCTACAGTTGCATATTTATAATTATTCTAATTGCCTGTCATTTCTCTCTAAATTTATTTTTCACAGTTATCTTCTAGTAAATCTGTCGTTTCCTTTCAAATTCATATTTTGCACAGCTACTCCACAGTAGAATACTCCGAATTACTCCAATTTCCTGTAATTTCTCTCCAAATCAATCTTTCATACAGTTCTTTTACATCTGCTCCAATTATCCGTCACTCCCTCGCAAATTTATAAAAATGTTTTCACAGCAGCTTAACAAAGCATCTTCAGGCATCGCAGGCTTACTTAATTCTCAGAAGAAGCCGTATAAATTTGACACTAATCTTTTAAGACACCCTCTGTACAATATGCCTGCATATCTTCGCACGGCCGTTCGAGTTTCTTGTTTTCAACTTTTTACGTACCTGAAGTAAGGCGCGGTGAGGTTCTCGGTGGATCTCGAATGCGTGATGTCCTGGGACATTCGCCTGGACCTAATGTGCAACAAACAATCGAAAAACAACGGCTGTGAGCATACATGCAACTACGTGCGCAAACGCTTAGAAAGTAAAATTAATGGAAATCATAAAATGGAACTACCGAGAAAAACGAACGTTTCTTTCAACAGAAATTTTACCTGTGTTTTCTAATCGATTACACGTGTCAAGTGTACACTTTTCGTTCATTTTTCTCTGATTAGAATCGAGAGTGAAATAAACGGTATAATTTAAAGGGGCGTGATGAAAAAAGCGATCAATTTTAAATGAAAAATCGATACTTCGTAGTTGTATTAACGAGCAATATTAAATGCCGATTAAAGAAAGAATAGAGGAACTGTTTCGAAACAAGCTGGTAACGTGAAAGATATGAGAACAGCATACTTGTCGACGATCGTGCAATTTACTTTAATTGACGCTTTCTTGGAATCGCGGGAGTATGAATTTTTCAGGTGCAATTTGTGGTTGGTTTGTAGTACTTTAGAGCGAAAGAATTGTCGATTTTTTATTTCACTTTGCTTTGATAAACGTTGATTTTAGGAAATTGTGTCGTAGTCACTTATAGTCACGCGTAAAAGAGGCCAGATTTAGTTTTTTCACTTTAAGAAAGGCAGAAACGTTCTCGTCAACACAATTTGCATAATTTTTTGCAAATTCTTAGAGTGATTTAACAAATTCGACAAATGTTAGTATAGAAAGGGTATTCTGAGTTAACTTAGAAGCTTCTAGAGCCTTACTCTTCAACTTCTTCACTTTCTTCCATATTACATACACAATGATATCAATCTTTCAGACCAATTTTAGAGAGTGAGTGAAAAACTCTCCGTTTCCTTCCCTATAACGCTGTAAAAATTGATTTAACCAAAAAAACACTCACCCTTCGTGAACTCGTCGACGGACTCGAATCGTCCTTCCACCTTATTCTTGGAGGAGTCTAGATCCCAGCCGAGAGGCGCGGTGGATCCATGATCCACGCTGCGGCTCTTGCTCCTGCGAAAGGAGAAGTTTAATTAAACGATTAAAATCGATGAAGCGCGCTTTCTCTGCTCGTACACTCTCTACTTTGAAACGCTAGTTCGGTTCGAACTCGGTTGCAACAAGTTTCTCAAAATTTCTATTTCCAATGTCGATAGATCGTGAACGCGACAACATCGTCGCTTGTACAATCGTTCAAATCGCCTAATTACTCCCTGTATTATTCTCTTCTCGTTTTACTTCATTTTTTCCCATTTTCGTTTTGCAAAAGCAAGGCCAGTCAGCCGAGAAACCGTGCAATTTCACGATGCAACGAACCATGCGTCGTATAAACGAACCCTACAAGAGAGGAATCCTGGCGCGAGCGAACGAATGGCCGACGAAGATAGCAAAAGCAACAATGGAGGCTTACAAGTGAATGAAATTACCGGCTTGGCGAGAAGAAAAGGAAAAGGAAAACTAGATTTTATGAATGGAGGAGCGCACGAGGCGCGAACGAATTATCCTCTGACGTTGCAACAAGTTGAACATGGTGCGCTCGTGAATATTGCGCAATTTACGAGTGGCTTTAAGGGCGATCAGAGGTTTTCTTTTTTCAGTTTGCTGAGAGCGTCGAATCAATACGGTTTATTCGAGAGGTGGAGTGAATGAAATAACGTTCGTGCTGATTTAATTGGAAAATTTGAAAATGTGTATAAAAAGATAGAATTATTTTTGTTTGTTAAACGAAACTGTACACTACTTGCTGGCTCTATTGCATTACAGTTACTTTGTAGTGGTAAACTTACTCTCTTACTCTCTGTAAATTTATTTTTTATACAGTTTACTAATTTATATAGGTATTTTACACTAAACCTCTGTCACTTCTTTTCAAATTTACTTTTTATACAGTTATTCTACAGTTGCATATTTATATTTATTCTAATTGCCTGTAATTTCTCTGTAAATTAATTTTTTATACAGTTTACTAATTTATATAGGTATTTTACACTAAATCTCTGTCACTTCTTTTCACTATTACTTTTTATACAGTTATTCTACAGTTGCATATTTATATTTATTCTAATTGCCTGTAATTTCTCTATAAACTAATTTTTTATACAGTTATTCTACAGTTGCATATTTATATTTATTCTAATTGCCTGTAATTTCTCTATAAACTAATTTTTTATACAGTTATTCTACAGTTGCATATTTATAATTATTCTAATTGCCTGTCATTTCTCTCTAAATTTATTTTTCACAGTTATCTTCTAGTAAATCTGTCGTTTCCTTTCAAATTCATATTTTGCACAGCTACTCCACAGTAGAATACTCCGAATTACTCCAATTTCCTGTAATTTCCTGTAATTTCTCTCCAAATCAATCTTTCATACAGTTCTTTTACATCTGCTCCAATTATCCGTCACTCCCTCGCAAATTTATAAAAATGTTTTCACAGCAGCTTAACAAAGCATCTTCAGGCATCGCAGGCTTACTTAATTCTCAGAAGAAGCCGTATAAATTTGACACTAATCTTTTAAGACACCCTCTGTACAATATGCCTGCATATCTTCGCACGGCCGTTCGAGTTTCTTGTTTTCAACTTTTTACGTACCTGAAGTAAGGCGCGGTGAGGTTCTCGGTGGATCTCGAATGCGTGATGTCCTGGGACATTCGCCTGGACCTAATGTGCAACAAACAATCGAAAAACAACGGCTGTGAGCATACATGCAACTACGTGCGCAAACGCTTAGAAAGTAAAATTAATGGAAATCATAAAATGGAACTACCGAGAAAAACGAACGTTTCTTTCAACAGAAATTTTACCTGTGTTTTCTAATCGATTACACGTGTCAAGTGTACACTTTTCGTTCATTTTTCTCTGATTAGAATCGAGAGTGAAATAAACGGTATAATTTAAAGGGGCGTGATGAAAAAAGCGATCAATTTTAAATGAAAAATCGATACTTCGTAGTTGTATTAACGAGCAATATTAAATGCCGATTAAAGAAAGAATAGAGGAACTGTTTCGAAACAAGCTGGTAACGTGAAAGATATGAGAACAGCATACTTGTCGACGATCGTGCAATTTACTTTAATTGACGCTTTCTTGGAATCGCGGGAGTATGAATTTTTCAGGTGCAATTTGTGGTTGGTTTGTAGTACTTTAGAGCGAAAGAATTGTCGATTTTTTATTTCACTTTGCTTTGATAAACGTTGATTTTAGGAAATTGTGTCGTAGTCACTTATAGTCACGCGTAAAAGAGGCCAGATTTAGTTTTTTCACTTTAAGAAAGGCAGAAACGTTCTCGTCAACACAATTTGCATAATTTTGAGGAAAACCATTATCATATTCGATATTTCCAAAATTGTCACACAGAAATATCAAAAAAAAAAGTTCCTCCTTTCGTTCGAATAAACGACAGAAACGTTCTTATTAACAACAATTTGCATAATTCTGAGGAAACTCATTGTCATATTCGACGTTTCTCAAAACAGTCACACAGAAATGCAATCAAAATGGTCCACGACAAACTGGATTTCCTTCTTTCGCTCCACTGAGTGGCAAAAACGTTTTTGCATAATTTTGAGGAAACCATTGGCACATTCGATATTTCCCAAAATACTCACAGAAATGCAACCGAAAATGTAACAAAAAGGAAAAAAAAAACTAAATTTCCTCCTTTCATCAACGACAATTTGCATAATTTTGAAGAAACTCATTATCACATCCGATGTTTCCCAAAACAGTCACACGGAAACATTATCAAAATGGTCCAAACAAAAAAAAAAGTTCCTCCTTTCGTTCGAATAAACGACAGAAACGTTCTTATTAACAACAATTTGCATAATTCTGAGGAAACTCATTGTCATATTCGACGTTTCTCAAAACAGTCACACAGAAATGTAATCAAAATGGTCCACGACAAACTGGATTTCCTTCGTTCGCTCCACTGAGTGGCAAAAACGTTTTTGCATAATTTTGAGGAAACCATTGGCACATTCGATATTTCCCAAAATACTCACAGAAATGCAACCGAAAATGTAACAAAAAGGAAAAAAAAAACTAAATTTCCTCCTTTCATCAACGACAATTTGCATAATTTTGAAGAAACTCATTATCACATCCGATGTTTCCCAAAACAGTCACACGGAAACATAATCAAAATGGCCCAAAACAAACTGGATTTCCTTCTTTCTTCCAATAAATGGCTAAAACTTTTTCCCATCGAGGTAATTTGCAGAATTTCGACGAAGCCCATTAACACATACGATATTTCTTAAAACAGTCCCAAGAAACGTAACGAAAATGGTCGAAAAGAAAGAAAATTTCCTCTTTTCACACGAGCAACGACAGAAACGTTCCTCTATCGAGGTGATTTGCATAATTTTCCGGAAAACTGGTGTAACCTTCGATATTTCCCAGGGTATCTCTGGCAGAAGGTGCTCGATCGCGAGGGAATTAGATTCGAAACGGTGCATCTGTGCCGCGGCCAAGCTTCACAGCCGGCGCTAATTGCCGGCGACGCTTTAATTCGATTACCGACCCCTATCCTGATGAGTTCACTCGTTACCACGGATCTGCATTCGAGGCGAACGTTTACTTCTCTATTTTCCAACTCTCTCTCTCTCTCTCTTCATCGAGTATCTCTGCTCGCGACAACGAGGACACGCTTTGATATCGACACACGTACATTCTACACGCTGGATTATTCTCCCCGGCGATAAAAACAGCCGAGTTAATCTATTCTCGATCAAGTGGTTAATGAGACGATTAAAATAACGTTCTGCCGTTTAAATCGGGATCTGTTTTAAATCTGTAAATAGTATTATTTCAATGATACCGGGTTGATGGCGAAACGAAGTGGAGAATTTATTAGGTTTCCATTTCGGTGCAATTTGTGAATTGCAAACGAAATTTTCTAAATCGAATGGGTGAATTAACGATTTTAGCGAGGAATTCAATTGTGAAATAATTGTGGATTGATGATTTCGACAGTGAAATCATTTTACACTAATTCCGACTACGAAATAGTTTTAGACTAGTAATTTGGGATTAATTATCGGGACTGTGAAATAATCGTGGACTAATTATTTGAACTGTGAAAGAATTTCAGACTGCGAAAAATTTTGTTTCAGAGTCGAATGAGAATTACTGAAATTAGTTAATAATTAAATTACCACAAAAGTATTTCTATTACACCCAAATCTGCTCTCTTTCGCTTCAAAACACCTAACACCAAGCCACTATCACGCAAAATTCCCACACGCCGATTCGCTATTCTTTGTCACTCGCAAAATCGCTTTATTTACTAATTTCCTATCGAACAATTAAGCTAAACTATACCGTACCACAACCAAAGAAAGGTCTAATCAAAAAAACTACCTAAACCGGTCGACTATCTAGACTAGACTGCGTAAATCACCGGTGTTTTCGACTAATCGTATCGTAAAGGCGAAGCTGAAGCAACGGAAACCAGGTAGCAGCAACATCAACGCGAGCAACTCCGGCAGAAAACAATGACTAACGAGGCTGTATTTTCGAAAGCAGGAAAGTGTCACGTTCTGGCAGATTGCCTCGCCAAGCAGACGGAATAATCATCTAGCACGAGACAACGGGGAAAATAAAATAAACAGAACTTCGTTCGAACTAAAAGTTCGGATTTCTACGCAGAAAACCTGAGACAATTTCAACAAGCCGCGGTTGTTTGACGTTGTTTTGTAGGTGGTTCTAAACTATACAGAAATCGTCTCGAGAGAGAAACCGGAAGTGCGTAGGAATCTTGCAGCAATTCTCTCTATAAATAGGTAACGCAAAATTCGTGTCAATATGTACGCGGTCAGAGGAAATATAAATAACGAGGAGTTCGATCCGCGAGCCAATCGGTAGGTGTTCCAAGGAAAATATGGCGCAACCGTTAGTTTTCGACGACCAGCATGGAAATATGAAGGTATTTGCAAACAGGAAATTCGATCTCGCTGACATCAGAGAATCGCGGACGTAAATGTTCGATTTTAAGACCAAGGATCTCGAGAGATTCGAGAGAGTCGAGGAGTGTTGGAGAACGAAAGACTTAAGGATCGAGTGATTTACGTGATTCTATGGATTTAGAGATTCTGGGATAGTTGGGAAATTTTAGGGATCCGAAGACTCTGGGAACTCGGAGACACCTGAGATGCTCGGAGAACGGAGGAATTATAGAATTCCGGAGATTTAGGGATTCGGGGATTCGTAGATTTGGGAATTTGCGGATCCTGCGAATTTGGGAGTTTTGAAACCGCGGGAATCTCGGAGATCTTGTGATTTTAGGGATCTAGAGGACTCGAGAATCTTAGGAATCCTGAAGAATCGAAGATAGAAAAAATTTGGAGATCCAAATGACTCGAGAATCTTAGGAATCCTGAAGAATCGAAGATAGAAAAAATTTGGAGATCCAAATGACTCGAGAATCTTAGGAATCCTGAAGAATCGAAGATAGAAAAAATTTGGAGATCCAAATGACTCGAGAATCGTAGAACTTTCAGAGATCAAAAAAATCCAAGTGATCCAAGTTTCATGAATTTAGAAATCGACCAACTCTAGGAACCTAGAGATCCTTAGAGTGTCGAACATAGTAGAGTTTCAAGGATATTAGGAAGCTAGAGGCAAGAAAACACAGAAATTCGAGGATCTAGAGATCTCAGAAGATTTCAAATCATTTCCTAGAAGCTTGAAAAGTTCTTCAGAATTTTTGTAACCTTAGAAGCAGAACAGAGGTACTTTGAAACTACTTAAAGACTACTGAGAAGAAAGCAGGTGTCAATATTGACCGATATAAATTTCGAATGTACAGTAATCGCGTTTTATGACTTTAGATTCGTCGGTATCACGTTCCACGACCCCAGGCTGGTCAGTATCGCATTCTAGCTAGCCATACTTATCAGTATCGTGTTCCACAGCCTTTGATACCAGCTGTATCACGTTTTACAAGTGCACCTTCATTTGTATCGAATTCTACGAGCCTCCTAAGAAGCATCTTGCATTCTGCAAATACAATCCCAACGATGTCTATTTGAAGAACCTCGCTATACTATACTTGAGCAAACACTTGTCAATACCATAAATTTTCCGGATTTTCAGAAAAATAATAAAAATTGTTTCACTCTAATAATTCCTTTTTTCTACATTTGCAAATTAGATGATAAAATTTGTAAATTATGCACGAATAATAAATGAAGACTGCATAAAAATATATGTAATTAAGAATCACCAAAAATGTCACATGTGTCGATACGAAATAAATAATTTAATTGTACTTTGTATCTTGCACGATTATTTTTATTCTTTTGTACTAAATAATTTATCTCTTTAAACGAATAAATATTCCACAATTTATTTATCTAAGCTTCCCACTATCCAGCCTCACGATTTCCCAAAATAGCCTGTAATTATCGAAAAATCATTCAGTGTCCACGTTATCGATCGCCAGAGAACGAGATAACCAGCTGGCGGTTCTCCAAAATGGCCGTCCTTGGAAAAATACTATACTCGACCGATAACACGTAACATCCACGAATAAATTTCCTATCATACTCTTTTTTCCATCCTCCAAACACATCCTCTTTCGTTGTATCTTTCTAAAAAGATCTTTATGGACATCGGTAAATATATTCGCTGAACACGCGTCGTTAAAAATGAATTAA